GACGACTGGGGGAATCTAAACCACAACAAAAAATGGCTCACTTTATGCCTATTCTTTTCGGGGCATCTATCTCCTTTTAGTTTGTGATTATAGTTTTCGTCGGTAGATCTTATTAGATGTAATTACCTCTTTCACATGCCACTCCATTCTTCAATTTTGTTATATCGACATGTTTCTCTTTTTCTTTTCTTTTTTTTTTCCCCTTGAAACTCACATCTTCTTCTTCAAAAGGATTTTCTAATTAAGAGATTACCTGCTAAAAATAAGGCTCATCATATTTCAAACAGTGATCTCAAATCTAAATTGGATTGAGATCTTCATTTGGTTGCCTGCTAAAAATGATTCACTCACTTGATTTGTTCGGCACAGTAGATGGGGTGTGAGAATTTTGGGAAGGTGAAGAAAGGTTAAAAATGGAAAAATGTAATGAATTGGACCCTTTGCGTCATGTTAAAAACTTGTTCGTGGTGTTATTAAATTCAATATTTTTGTGCCACTTTTGCAAACCAAACGGACTAATGGAGTGCATTGGGGTAGGTGGATATGGTGAGAAATCAGGTTGTGATAGTATCAAGGTCATTAACAATATCCAACCAAACCCACCCTTAAAGTTTAAACACTGCTAAGTGAACATGCACAAGAACTCGTCCTTTCCACCTATCTATCTATTCATGTGTCAATTGTGCAGTGACTGAACTGTAATAACTGCAAAACAGATGCTTGATGTATAAGAACAACCCAACTCATATCTGACTGAAAACATGGCTTAGCTTCTGCTTATGATCATATTACAAATTGATCAGTAAAAACACAATCTTGAATCCAAACACACATTTGTGCCATGAACTGTAATCCCTAATAATCCCGAGCTGTCGTTAAAATTTCAAACACAGATTCATGATTAGCAATGCTTAATATGAAAAACAAGCAAAACACATCACATTAATTTGTCAGTATAAAGTACGCATTTTTATTCAAAAACTACGACCGTTTGTTCGTTAAGCTGCACTAGTACAAAAAATTTGTGTCGAATTTCAACCCGATATTGACTTTGGTTTTTTGCAAGGCAGTGTAGTAAGTAACTAAACCAAAANAAAACAAAAAAGAACAAAAACCCAAAAATTCAGAGCCTGTGTGTACACATATTACTCAGATGAACAAATTTATATGTACACTACTAACCCGGGCACTTCTTACGCCTCGAATCCTCAGACAACAGCCTCCGAACGAGCCTCTCCAGCCTCCGGGCCCCAGGGCCCGGCCTCAAAACCGAGTCATCTCCTCTCGACTCACATGGGTCGGGCCCGTTTCCCACACACCAAGCACCCGGTGCGAACCGGCCAGCCTGGCGCCCGAGCAACTCCCGGTCGATCTTGTCGAGAACCGAGTCATCCGCGCGGAATTTCCGAGCAAAAGCCGAGCTGCTGTTGACCATTTGGTCAAAGTCTTTGACCGAGAGGGTCCTCGGGTGCTGCTTGGGAGGGTTGTCCCACGAGATGTAGTGAAGGTCGTGGCTCACGGCCGTGGCCCGGAAATCGGGGGAGTTGCAGATAACGGTGTGGAAATAGCCCTCGGGAGACGAGACGAAGTTGGTGTAGTACATGAGGGCCGTTCGTGGGAGGCTATCCCAACCCCATATGCAATATTCGACAAACGAGCGAGTTAGGACTACCCAAGCCGAGCCTGACAAAAATATAAAAAAAAAAAAAAAAANAATGATAAATGTGAAATTTGAGACGAGACGTAGCTCATGTTCGAGTTCGTGCTTGTTTGATAAAACAGACAAAAAAGGCTTTGGTTCTGGCTTGACTTGTTTAAATCTATGTTTGGTAAACCTAGCTGATAAGCAAGTTTTATAGGTTTTAAGTGAATTTCACGCCTATAGCTGATAGCTTATTACTTATGACTGAAAAACTAGCTTATATGATAAAAGTGTTTGATAACATTAATCTGAAATAAAAATTTCAATGGGCTTATTTGAAAAGCTACCCAAAGAAGCTTATAAGATAAGCTCGAGCTTTTTGGATACCAAATGAAACTTATTTGAATACAGGAAGCTTATAAAGCTTAATCAAATAAGCTATAAGCTAGTTTATATGCTTACTAAACCTGAATATCCAAACGAGTCGTTTGCAAACCGAAATGTTTGTTCACAAACAAGTTCAACGAACAAGCTTCTCGGCTCATTTAGCTGTGTTCATAAACACCTTGGTTCGAATAATGATTATTTTTTACAGAAAATTGCAGCTTCCATTTAAAACCTCTAATGAAGCTTAGTTCAGGAATCTAAACATGAAAAAACATAACTTTCCATAGTAATACTGTAATAGCTAATTCAGTATTGGACGATACTCTTGGAGATTGTTTCGTGGGGATGATATTCTTATAAGGAATCCTCATACGTTATACGCATTGATTGAAGGTGATATAAATGGGAAGAGAAAACTCACCGGTAACCAACTTGAAAGCTGTCGGTACAGACCGGCGTTGACTGGTCCAAAAAAGATTAGATTTTTTGGACATGTAGAGACCAGGATCAACTATAATAGGCTTTGCTCTCTGATTTCTGGGAAAAAGAAAAAAAAAAAGAAACAGGAGAAAAAATAAAATCAGAAACTAAATGTGCCGGATCAAAACTGTTAAACGACATATGTTCATTGCAGATACGTACATTTTCCACCCCACTATCTGCATAAGCTCGATAAAATTGAGATTTCGCGACACATTGGACAAAACATATAGCAGATCTGCAGGTTAAGTAAACACAGGTTCATTATCAGAGGACAGAAAATTTTACCAAAAATCAGTTCTTATGAAGTAATATAAGTTGAAAAAAGCTGGCTCGTCTGACATCGTAAAAAACAAATAAAGAAACTTAATATATTCTTCAGGGAAAACATATTTTAAAGCCAGAATATCATAATCTGCACACTTCCTAGGCTCCAGCACCTACTTTTGCAAATTTAAAGAAGCAGAAAACTCTACGAGCACACGAATTTAGCCAATCAGTTTGAATCATCTTACAAAATTCAGCCTCTTGCCACGGATGCAGCAAAAGGGCACACCAACCAATCCAAATTAAACAATAATTTCAAGACCAAGAACACCTTCCTGTCATATATCCATAAAAAACGAAAAATGCACAAGGAAAACACAAAAACGAGTGAAGTAGCAGATTCTAACTCACCATCCTGTGTGACGAGCGGATAATCAGAAGCACTCAAATTAATAAACCAATCCCAGCTCGAACTCTCTCTCAATAAAATAGCTATGGCTTGAAGTGTGCAAGCAATCATAGTGGGGCCCTTATATGTCACAAGATTCGACTGAGTCATCACGCGCACATTTCCCACATCGTTAAAAGTCGGCTCATTCTTCACCCACATTGTCAGGTTCAGCCTTTCCCTAGGCGGAGCCTCAAGGTCCATGTGAAGAATGTACTGATTTCTAGGGTGATAAACGGCCTGCAAAGTCCTCATCATCCTCTTGCTATCGCCTTTCGTGCCTGAAATTAAATAAGCGAGCCTCGGAGGCTCCAATTCCGAGGCCTCGACTGATTTTAACGATTTTCTCAATTCGGGTTCGATAAAAACAGCTTCAGAGCTGTTTTGGCGGACTAAAGGAGCAATACCGAGTTGGGGTAGATTTTGGGCATAAGGAGACACGCGTAGCATAAAAAAGGCGGCAGTAATTAGTGTGATCAACACAAGCAAACTGACAAAGAAGGGTATTTTCCACCTTTGGTCGGTTAATATCTTTCCTGAGTAAAGATTCAAACTTTTCCTCATTGTCATTGTTTTCTAAAGCTAATANAAAAAAAAACAAGAAAAAAAATCAGACAGCTTTGTCCTGAGTCTTAAAAGGATGTCTGAACAGAGCTATTGTTCTTGGTTTCTCATAGCTCCACCGACAAAAGAAACAGATTTTTTTTCTCTTTGGGTCCCTTTTACATTTGTGAGGGAGACAATCAGACAATTAAGGTTTCTTGAGAAACAATAAATGAACAAAGCCCAGATGGGGAAATCCAATGGGAGAAAAGGAAAAATGACGAACAAATAAGTACTCAAATTCAAAATTTTACCTCCCAACAACTTCCCTAAAGATCAAATCACCCCCACAAAGAACTAAAACTCAAATTGGCTTTTCTCACCCACCAAGGTTCAGTCTTTTTGACAAAGAACCCAAGAACAATTACAGTTCATCAAATTGTTGTGATTTTGCACCAAGCAAGAAACTATTTCCTAGTCTATCTGAAGCAAAAAAATAACGACCCACAAGCTTATATTTTGCAAGCGATAAAAGTACACGGGTATAGAGACCCTTACTATAAATGGAAGGACTGGTTGCTGGTAGCTTTGAAGCTCCAGACGAGAAGAGTAAAGTTGGGTCTAAACTTGGGTGTGAGGGAGAAGGGCACCGTAACCGTACAGATTGCTTAAGATGGGAGTTTCGACTTGTAGGGGTGAACTCAGTACGATTCTCCAGAACCGTAACAAAGTTCGATCTCCAGAATCGTACCAAAAAATTGGTTCGGTCCGGTTTGGAAATTTTTATTTTTCGGTTCAGTTCCGTTCGGTTTTCGGGACTATCACAACGGTTCGGTTCAGTTTAGTTCGGTTCGGATATTCGGAGATTTCTTATCATTTTTTAAAAAAATTTGAATAACCACCTAATTATATTTTATTTTTTATATGTTTGTTTTTAAAAAAATTCAACATTCATCATACTAAAGATTTTATTTTTAAATCAACTTTTAGATGTAACCCTAAATTTTAGTTAAGACTAAATTCAACTAACATTGAAAATTTAAAATTAGAAAAAAAGATATAATAAGGTTTTATATTAAAGTAATATTTATTTAACCTTCCATACCATGTTAGTTATAAAATAAACTAAGGCTAAGTATCGACAACTTTAAGTAAAGCTTAAGTAATTTTTTTTTTTAAATATTTAACCTTTCATTTCATTTTATTTTTTTTTAAGCAGGAGAAATTCAATTGTAGATTAAGTATTACTAAACATGAAATGTAGGTGAATTTTAATTGCTATTACTATATTTTATTTGCATTTTGAAAATTTTCAAATTATATAAGAACAAAGTTGACATAAAATATATTAATAACACGCATCTATTTTTATAATGTGGTTCTTAATTTCGCTTCTTCGGTTTGGGGTGGTTCGGTTCGGTTCTCGGTACGGATATTTATGAAATCTCCAGAACCGTACCAATTATTTTTTCGGTTCGGTTCGGAGAAAGTCAAACGGTCAACGGATATTTTTCGGTTCCGAGTGATTTTGGTTCAGTTTTCGGAACGGTTCGGAATTCTCCGAATCCCATGCTCAGCCCTAGTTTCGAGTAACGAACGCTTGTTAATCTGTGATTTGATTAGATTCTTATATATTGCTAGAGTGTATGTGTGATAAACTTAAACGGTGGTCCGTGGTGAGAACAAGTTTGTTTATGAAAAATTTCAAAAAATTTCTTAACATTTTAATTCAACTATTTTTTTTAACTCAACTTTAACTCAACCTCACTATCATATAATATCAATCAATCATTCATACACACCACATCAACATTAATTCACTATTTATCCATTTACATTATTTTAACTAACTATTACATCAAATAATTTTTCTCTTACTTTTATATCAAATCACTTTTAATTATTTTATTTTAAACATTATTTTAACATACCCACTAACAACTAGCCATACCATATTTTTCAAAATTAATCAAACCAAACAAAAAAAAATCCAAACACAACTAAAAAGCACTATTGTTGGGATAAAAACACATACATCTATATATATACAAAATCGGTAATTCAAAATAATAAATTACTCTNTTATTGCAAGAGACAAAGTGTTCGGCCCATTTTTTAACTAACTAGTATTCGACTCTGTGCATTTGCACAGATGTAAATAAAATTAAATATTATAAGTTATAAATTAAATATTTATGTATATAATATAAAAATTATACGTTATATAATTGTATTATATTTCAAACATATAGTATTATAAGTTATATTTATGTATATAATATTAAAAATATAAATTATAGAATAGTATTATATTTTAAAATTTGATCATTGGTTAAAATAAATAGTACACACGATTTGATTGTATACGAATCACTATATTGATTGCATAAAATGTAATAAATGTATACGTTTTATAATTTTGAGTGATCATGACCAATTAATTAGCTGAAAAATATTACATTTATTATAACAATTGCTTAAGTGATTGTAAGAAATTTTACTATGACATAAAAAAATTAATTTATTAATAAACAACATCTTCATCATATAAAAAAATATTGATTTTAGTGTAAAATATAATTTTATGTAACTTTCATATATTATTTAGTATAAAATATAATTACTAATTTTAATATTAACTATTATATTATTCAATAAAAAATATAATTATTAATCAATTAACATAAAATATAATGGTTTTTGTCTTAATTAACCCAAAAAAATGTAATGAAATATTTTTTTATTAATGAGATTGGGTGTATTAATGCCACATAAATAAAATTTATTAGGTTCTATTTATTAGGTTTTATTAATGATTTGCCACATAGGTAAAATTTATTAGGTTTTATTTATTAGGTAAAATTTATTGCTTACTACCAATTATATATATATAGATTATGGTAGAAAACTTTTATATAGTTTAATTAATAAGAGCGTTCAACCGTTAACTTTTTATTTTTATTTTTATTTTAAATTAATTGTTTTTAATTTATATTAAATGAGTGTATAATAGGTCCTATATATATATTTAAATGATTGGATAGGAATGTGAGTGTATGTTTAAATGAAAATAAATTTAGTGGAAATCTGATGTAGAGATGATGTGAATGAGAGAGTTTTGATTGAATAAATGAGAATTGTATATTTGGGTTGTGGATGCCTTTAAACTTTCAAGACTAATGTAGTATTCAACTGCTTATGTGACTGAATTAGTCAAACTAAATATACCACAATTCACATATGTTATCTAACCGTTATACAATGATACATTCTTTTAAAAATAATATCTATACATAACATCATTCTAATCGTTATAAATTACACATTTAAAAAAACACATATCTACATTTTTATTTATATTATACATTAAAGTACGACATATCAATATGAAAGTACATATATTTATATTTAATAAAAAATATGACCTGTAACTATTAGACAAGCTAACAATAAACTTATCCGATAGAATGTTCATCTCAATATACAGCAGACATATATTACTCATCTAATCACGCAAAGTAAACCAAAAGTCCAGGATAAACTCCTATTTATAGTTCACAAAAAACTAGACTTTTTAACATGTTCTCTATACTTTTAAGTTTTTTGTTTACGAAAATCTCCATTTAAAATAAAATATTCATAAACGAGTAATAGACCAAGAAATAACGTAAATTTTAATTGAATCAATGACAAACCACAAATCAACTATTTATACATAGAAGTTAGTATAATTCAAAATAAAAATAAAAACTTCGTAAATATGAAAACAAAAATATATGTAAATGGTATAATTTTCGCTTAACTAAATAGGTGTAGGTGAATGGGTACTTATCACTTATGGTGTTTGATTGAAAATTGGAATCCAATTTTTCGAAAAAAGAATATTTTTAAAATAATAAAACAACTGCTTTGGTTGATTTTGGTCCATTCTTGTTGAATGTCAATTATATTGTCGTGCATGCTTGCCTCAAAAGTCTTCAATTCAAAAGTCAAAACTCTACTATAATGACTATCTGAAATTATATATTATGCCAACTTTATAAAATAATATAATATCATTCGTGCTTCAACTTTATACCTTTCGGTGAAATTTGAAAACTTTCACTGATATATTACTAATTAAAAAAAAAAAAAACATAGAATAAAATAAATTGAAGATTGATGCCATGATATGCTCCCGATGATTATTCTCTTTACCGATGCACTAAAAGATTATGATACATTTAACATATGAAAAGTCCTAATCGTTGGAAAATCAATGCTCACTGTCATTTTCAAAGAATACAACATGAATTCATAGGGATGGCAAAGTTACATGTATATCAAAATTTATTGAATCTAATGATGAATTAATATCTTATCTTTATCTTATTTTTCTCCAACGGCATTATTTCACGCTTTATATATTCTCCTTTCTACCCTCTCTTCTTCGATATATACATGCTAAAAATAAAATACTCTCACAACTCACAAGTCACAACTATAATTATTTTGAAGAAAAATACCTACAACACAAAGCACACGCGATTTAAAATAAATTCATACTTTATTATTTTACTATTCATTTAGCGTATAACGTCCGATTTCAACGATAAGCGTTCCATGTAAGTTTGTTTCCTTTTTATATTCTTTTTTTTTTTTCCTTTCTATGTATGACTGTTTTTATGCTCTTTCTTTTGCTTATGAATGTATATAGTAATATAAAAAAGTTATTGGAAAAAGACATTTGTAGTAAGTTTGACTAAAAAATTAAATAGTTTGACTTACTATTAATGAATTTTTTTTGAAAATAACATGTGAAACTTTGCGAATCAAATTTAATCTATTGTTACTAGATTTGACTAGATTTTTGTTTTCATTTTTTCAGAAAACAAAACTAATTTCAATTCATTTCATAAATATGAATCCCATAGTTTTTTTTTTAACAAATTTGGAAATTTTTATGCAGAAAATGTGTCAATTATTTACATAACCTTATCAATCTACAAGATTTCGAATATAACTAGTTGCATATGGGCATCGATTTCCTATCTAATAGTTTAATTGATTAAACCCCTTCTAATTCAATTAGCGACTTTTTTACCGAAATGGGAGGAGTCGTAGAACTAGGCTCATACGAGATACACGATTTCGTAATCGAATAGTCTATAGGTTTCATATTGAAGTACATGTTTGTCGATATCTTTTCCCTTGTTACGACTCCTACTATCATAAATTCTGCTATTTATAGTACGGCATTTTTTGTCTTTTGTTCGAAATGGATAGGAACGTATTTAATGTTGAGCTGCTTCACTTAAGCGGTGAAGCGGTGTGTTTCGATCTGGGAAAGATCAATGATTGCTCTTTTGTTTTGATGGTCCAATCAGGTGCTTTCAGCTTGTTTTACATAGCTTGTTTTACGTTTGGATATTTGAACTTTGTGGTAGTCGGTTTGAATAGAGAAGTTTTGATATGACTAACCATCCCATTGGCAGAGTCGGTCATCGGTTCTTTCTCTCTTGGTCATCTCGGAAGTCGGTATACTTCAACGAATACCGACTTACTTTAAGTTTGTCTTTTTCTGGCGGATTTACTCCAATGGCACAATTAATCACCACTTTTAATCGTAAAATCAAGTCGGTTATCAACAGAGAGGCCCCCGACATTAGTAGGTATTTGAGCTTTTTGAATGGCTGCTGATGTCGTTTGTTGTTCCGTGTTATTTCGACTCG